TCAGTGGTGTTTTGCCATGGCAGCCTCCAGGTGCAGCAGCACCAGTCAGTGTGCTTCGAGCTTTGCTTGCAGACGTGAGCTATGCAGAGCGATCTGCATCAAGATGCAGTTTCCAGAAAGTTGGAAGGAGCATCTGACCAAGTGCGGTTCTGCATCAAGCAATGATGAAGCCGCGCGCTTGAATCACATACAGTCGGCGCGTCACGGATGGCGGCCTTCGCCGGTGTGGCTACTCGATCAGCCGAGGGCCGCGCGACGAGTGGGAGGAGCCAATTATCACGGCGTCGTCGGTCAATGCAAACGTGCCGATACGCAACCCCGTGCCATGCCCGGCGCCTGGTTTCTCGCCAGCCGTGAACCCAGCGAGTTCACGGCACCCAGTGTCGAGACGGACTTGGAGAAGCAGGATGCGGACGAGCAGCAGGCGCCGAGGGTGCAGCAGCCGACGGCTCGGGTCAGTCTCGCGCCGTTAGAGCAGCTGCCGAAGGGGGGCGCGGCGTGGCAGCCGGACGAAACACTGAACTCTTTTAACCCACCAGCACGGGAATCGCTCCCACGGACGGACCTCCAGCACGACGGAGCCGCGGCATGTTATATACCGTAGCACCCCGCAGCTACGGATAGGAATGAGGGGGGGACGGAGTCGCCGGCAGTCTGCGAGGTTCTGAACCCCCCCCCCCCGCGGGCGCAGCTATACGTTTTGCACAAATTGTACGATTAGCCGTGCGGCGCGGATCTTTTGGTCAACACAATGTCGCGGGTCGGTCGCGGGTGGGTCGCGGGTGGGTCGCGGGTGGGTCGTGCGTGGGTCGCGGGTGTGTCGCGGGTGGGTCGCGGCTGGGTCGCGGGTGGGCCGCGGGTGGGTCGCGGCTGGGTCGCGGCTGGGTCGCGGATGTGGAGACAGTGGGACATCGGGGGAGGTGGGGTGGTGTGGGGACAGTGGGACATCGTGGGGACAGTGGGGAAGGGACAATGGACGTGGTGGGGACAGTGGGACATCGGTGGGGACGGTAGCGGTGGGGACAGTGGTGAGGGCGGTGGAGAGGACAGTGGTGGGACAGTAAAACAGTGGGGAGAATGGCGGGGACAAAGGGGACAGTGGGACAGTGGTGGGGACAGTGGGACAACACAGTGGGACAGCGGCGGGGGACAGTGGTGGGGACTGTGGGAACAGTGGTGGGAACTGTGGAAACACAGTGGTGGGAACAGAGGGACAGGTGTGGGGACTGTGGGACAGTGGTGGGGACAGTGGGACAGTGGTGGGGACAGTGGTGGTGGGGAGAATGGTGAGGGTGGTGGCGAGGACGGTGGTGGGACAATGGGACAGAGGTATAACCGTAAACGGGCGATAATAAGCCCCCAGAAGAAAAAAGTTCGCGGTTCCCACGGTGATAATAAAGGATTTCCCCGGGGAAGGTAAGTTATGATGATGATGATGACGACGATGGAAGAGGAAGCGGAGAAGAAGGTTAAACCAGGCGCACGACAGAAGCCTGACTCGAGCGATCGCATGGCTCGTGGCTACTTGCCCGCAGAGGCGCACTACACAGAGATTGCTCGAGAGATCTCGAGGCTCGTGGCTACGTGCCCGCAGAGGCGCAGGACACAAGGCTGACTCGAGCGATCTCGAGCTCGGGGCTGGGGACCTAAATTTTACCAGCGCAAGAGAGGTCCTTGGCCGATCTGGCCAAGAAGCCCCTCTTGCGCTGGACTTCGAACCACTCTCCCATGCAAGCACGGCATCCTTTGGAACCGTCCTTGCATGGGAGACACTTGGTGCAAAGCTGGGCGGCGGCGCCAGCCTCCTCGTAGGTGGTGTACTTCGGCTCGGCCGCCTTGGGGTCCTTGCGAGGGTTGGACTTGTGCTTGGCACAGTCTGCGCGCGCAGCACGCGCTACGCACAATAACACATCGACGATCTCCTGGTCGCTACACAAGGGACTTCGGCGACTCCGGGGCCGCTAACGCACGCGCATCGCCCTTGGGGCGACAAGCTCAGAATTCTGGCAACCCGTGCCGGCAATTTCGGGCAGGGCGGCACTGATCAGAGCCCGTCGGCCCCATGCCCTGACATCTTGCCTGATCTACGCACCTCCAGGGCAATGACGTCATCAACAACACAAAGAACGAATCGAAACTGGGTCGGCAAATTTCAGTCGTCGCTGAACCAGCGTGTCACGAGAGCTCTGGAGGCTGGCCCAGGACCCGAGGGCTCCAGATGGTCCGATGGGAAACCAACCTTGTTATGCTGCAGTGGCTTGAGCCGACAGGGCTACAGACGGCAGAGAGGCGGAGGTGCCACATGAAAATGGCGAAGATGACGTCGTCGCCCTCCTCTTCCTCCTCCCCCTCCCCATCAGGAGGCTTCTAAAGCCCCGCAACAGTCTCCAAGGATGTCCGGGGGGGGCCCAAGGGGTCTCTGGAGGTTCCAGCAAGCAGGGAACGCACCAAACATAGTTGTCCTCCTTCTCCCTCCTCGCTCTTCTTCTTCTTGTTCTTCTTCTTCCTCCTCCTCCTCCTCCCGCTCCTCCTCCTTCACCTCCCTCCTCCCTGATCCTTTCTCCCTGCACACACCTGCTCCCTTGTCCATCCCTCCTTCTTCCCCCTGCAGGCTGGTCGTGTGCCAGCCTAGGGTCCCTGCATGGCCGGTCCTGCGACTGGCGGAGGTCAGCAGGCCGACCGCAGCATCGAGCACACTGGGCAGCGCAGCGGCCATCCCAGAGTCCCCAGCTCCGGTCGTGATTGGTGCCAGCTGCAGCTCTCCGGGTGCCGTCCTTTCTCGTTGGCGGGCGCTCTGGGTTCCATGAGCATGCTTCTGCTCCTCCCTCCCTCCCTGCCTCCCTCGCCCTTCCTTAGGGGAGCGAAGAATGACACAAACAACAAGTCGGAGGTCCGCGCGGACTCCTCGGATCCTCGCTGGACCCTCCTCCCTGGCACGCGGAGCGCGCCAGAGGCGGCGCCAGAGGCGCCGCAAAGGGGGTCCAGCGCCGATGCGAGGAATCCGCGCGGACCTCCGAGCTGTATGTTTATGTTGAAGTCGGGCCTTTCCCCCTACAGGGGGACTTTGGACAAAAAACTGAAAATACATTAAAGCAGACGCCAAATACGTGCAAAAATGCTCAAAAAAGTTCCAGACTATTTTTGGACTACCTTTGAATCTTCCTCCTGTAGGAGGAACAGGCCCGACTCAAATTCGTGTCCTTCTTCGTTCCCCTATATTTTCCTCCTCCGCGGCCGCCCGCGCCTGGGGCTCCCCGCCCCTGCCGGACAGCTCCTCCGCCCGCAGCCGCAGGGACACGAAGAGGGCGCACAGCACGGGCAGCGGCCGGGCCGCCGCGCAGGCTGAGCGTTTTTCGCGGGGGCGGGGGGTACTTCAAACTGCCCTTTCGTTCTGCTTTGGTGTCGGGGCGGACCTCCTCGGGGATCATTCATCGAGGATCGCAGTTGTGGGGTCTGTTATGGCGCTGTGGGGCTTCGCGGAATCTCCAACGGCTTCTGGGGACAAGGTTCTTCGGGCACCCAGAATGGCCCCAAAGTCCCCTCATGAACCGTCGATGATCTGCCAAATCACACACGTACCTTCAACTAGTGCAGACAGGGGCCTTCCAATTTCTCACAAAACCAAGCACCGATGTCCTCCCATCGAAGACACCGAAATTACGCATGATCTCCCGAAGTGCTCTCTTTCTCGTCGCTGCGGTGTTCCCGCCTCGTCGTCGGCGGCGTCGCCGTCGAGAGTGCCCGCAACAGGGAGTCCTGGAACACGCCCCTGGAATGCGGATGGGATGATTGTTGTGTCTCCAGGTAACACACACACGCACACGATCAACAGTCCTCGCGGCCAAGCTTGATGAATAGATCCTCTGGTGTGTTGTCGTCATCTCACATTGCAGATTTGGACCCTGCTACCTCCTCTCATCCAAACAACCGCAAAACGCCTGTGGGGCTCCAGACGGAGCTCTCAGACAACGCCCAAAAGGCATTCGAAAAAGGCCCTTTCAGAAAACCTTGAGTGGAAGCTCGCGATAAGCGCCATGACGCAAGTTGCAGACGCCTCGTAGGAATCTCCGAGCTTCTTCGCAAAAACTTGCCAGCCGCCTCGCATACATTCGCACAACTTTCGCCTTAACCTCGCATGGGACTAGCAGAAGCCGCTTCTCATCCACCTCGCAGAAGCCTCGTAAGAGCCTCTCATAAGCATCGCAGAAAGCGAAGGCTCGGCAATCCTCCAGCCTGCGGAAAACAAACCTGAGCCTTCCCCCAAACACACACACACACACACACCTACACACACACACACACACAGAAAAACACTGAGAAGACCAGAAGGCTCCTGAGAAGCCCAGCCACCTTCGGAATAAGCCTTTCCCTTTTCGCTCCCCCCCGTCGCTCGCCGCCGAACGGGGGAGAACAGCGCGTGCTGGGTAGATTTCACGTCGGGGGCACCGCCGCGCGAGGGGCACCGCTGCGCCCCTGGGGCCCACGGGCCACCGCGCCGGGCGTCGGGTGTGGGCGCGCTGTCTGGCCGCAGGCGCCCCGAGTAGGAGTGGGGGGGGGTTGGCGGCGCGCACAAGGGGGTGGAGGGAGGGGGGAAGGCTTCTTAGAAGGAGGGGTGCTTCTAAGAAGCCCTCCCCCCTCCCCCCACCCCCCTCTGCGCGTGGCTGAAGGGGGCGGGGGCGAGTTGTCCGGATCGCGCGTGGCCCCCCTTGCCCAGGGGCCCGCGCCCGCCCAGCCTTCGGCGGGAGAGTGCCATCGGGCCGTGGAAGGAGGGCGAGGGGCGAGGACGGAGGAGGGTGGGTAAGGAGTGAGGGGGGGGTAGGGGGGGGGGAGAGGGAGGAGGGGGAGGAGAAGGGATGGAGGATGATGAGGATGATGATGATGATGATGATGATGATGATGATGATGATGATGATGATGATGATGATGATGATGATGATGATGATGCTGATGCTGATGATGCTGTGATGATGCTGATGCTGATGCTGATGCTGCTGCTGCTGCTGCTGCTGGCTGCTGCTGCTGAGGAGGAGGAGGAGGAGGAGGAGGAGGAGGAGGAGGAGGAGGAGAGTGAGCAGCAGGAGGAGGAGGAGAGGAGGGGTGGGAGGAGAAGGGAGGCAGCACCACCAACCCCAAACCCCACCCCCCCAAAGGAGGGCCCGCGCGCTCCTGGCAGCAGCACCCCGACGAGCCCCCGCGCCCCGCGGCTCGCGGGGCCCCGGGGGCCGCGCACGGCGTCGCGCGCCGCCAGGGCCGTCCAGAGGCCGATCCTGCGGCCCCCCTGGCCGAGCGGGCGGCTGCCGCCCCGGGGGGTCATCGGGCGCCTCGGCGGGGCCGTGCGCCATCACTAGGGGAACGAAGAATGTTACCAGCCTGGAACATATCCCTATCCCTATGCTGGGCATCGCCTCATCACGATGCCAATCCCAGGGGTTCCCATATCTTTCCAGGGCGCCTCCCTAAGATTGTCATCGCCTTTGGGCGTGTCAATCTCAGGGATAGGGACATGTTCGAGGCTGGTGAGAATGACATAAACATGAAAACTCAGAGGTCCGCGCGGATTTTTCTCGGATCGGCGGTGGAGGCTCCTGGCGGCGCCTCCGGCGCCGCCCCTGGCGCGCTCCGCGCGCCAGGGAGTGGGGGGTCCAGCGTGGATCCGAGAAATCCGCGCGAAGTTCCGAGTTGTTACGTTTATGTCCTTCACCCAAGCAGGCACCTGCTTCCCAACAGTGGGAGCTCGACCACCAGAAACCTTACAGAAGAAACCCCACCCCGAGACCCCAAGCTTCCCATTGAGATGTTTTGCATAGGGGGTCACGTTTTGCATCGCAGAACCATCGAAATCCAAGAAGCCCAGGGCACCTCCAAGGCAAGCAGGGTGGTTTTTGGCATGGGCGTTCGCTGTACGCCTACTTTCCTATACGTCGCGCAGCTTGTTTCGCGGAGCAGTGGTTCACGACGCCACCGCCAGAGTAAACAATGCGAAGAGCAGTCTTGCGCTGACGAGCGAGTACTATGTCAGCCCATTGCCAAATCCCGATCGCGCACCGACGGTACTTAGTGGTTCACAAGATGGTGCCGTCGCCAAAATAAGGAGCATCAACTTCACGATTTCGCATCCATGGAATTTTAAGCCGGCACCAACGTCAAATATCAGTTTGCGGCAATAGCGAACTCGACAATACCTCCTCCCATCCATCAACCGCCGTTCTCCACTCGTCCTTGTGTACCTCATCCTCATGTCCTCTTCCGCCCGCCTCCCGCATCTCCTCTTCCAACCTTGCTCGTTGCTCCATCCCGCTCATCCTGACTTCCTCCTCCTTCCACCCGGTTCCCCTCCCTATCCGTCCTCGTCCTCCCGCGGCTCCTGGATATAGCGTCCCACCTCCCCCTCGCACCGTGCGCCCCCTTCCTCCCCGGCGCTCCTTCGTAATCCATCCTATGTGCAGGGCCTCCGTTGTCCCTCTCAGGCGGCACCAAGGGTAGATAGCATGGGCGACGTTGCACTTCCCACTGCTTGGTGGTAGCAGCATGTACTGGGCGCTGGAACACAAGGCCAAGGCTTAGTACAATACTTTGACACGCGACCTAGATTGTCGTGGGGGCACGGTGCAGCAGGGAACGGGGCAACTCCAACACATGGTGCTGTTGCAAGCCGCTGCTGGTCAAAGCAACGACCGCGACAGAAATATACATATATATATATATATATATATATACACACATACGCAGCACCCAGCAATTGCGGATAATAGTATGGGGGCGGCGTACTCGTTGGTGGTTCGCGGGTGGGTCGTTGGTGGGTCGCGGGTGGGTCGTGGGTATGTCGCGGGGTGGGTCGCATGGTGTGTCGCAAGTGGGTCGCGGGGGGGTGGCGGGCGAGGACGACACCAAGAAGCAACAACAACACCAGTAACAACCTTTACCAGTTTAAGCATGTTCGCTCTTATGTGCTCGCGTGCCACTCAACATATAAATCCCAAACCCTTGATGCTCGCCCAGTTCGTATTCGATGGTGTCCCCTTGGGGGTATGTCTCCCCTACCTACCACGTGCAGCTGGCTCCCGACACAAGGGAAGGAAGGGAGGAGGGAGGGGACAAAGGGGAGGGAGAAGGATGGAGCACGAGAGAGATTTGCAGAAGAGGGGTCAAGAGCAGGAAAACAAGCGGCAGGACCAGACAGGTGGGTCGGACGGGCGGACCCTGACGGGCGGGTCGGGCGGGCGGGCCCAGACAGCGTGGTCGAGCGGGCGGGTCGCTGAAGCATCAGTCCTGCATAGATCGTGAGGAAATCTCTAGCGATAGCGCGATTCTCAAAGACATCGCGAGGAAAGCTCAAGCGAGAGCGTGATCCCTGAGCGTCGAGGGCGCAGCGCCTCAATACATATCGACGAGGTCCCGCGTGAGAGTGGGATGCCTGGATAAACTGCAAGGACGTCCTGTGCGAGACCGCGATGTTGAATCAATGGTGAAACTACCATGCGTGAGCCGTGCTTGAATTTTCACTTTCACAAATATGACTGTTGTCCAACCCAGCTGTTTCTTCAAAAGGACAGAGCTGGAACCTCAGACTGGGTTGTTGGCCCCGGTTTACAATAACAGAAAGAAGAAACATGGTAGGACAGTTCGCGCGTTTGTGCTCGCGTGCCACTCGACACATATGTCCCTAACCCTCGATGCCCGCCCTCTTCGTCTTCGACCGTGCCATCTTGGGGGGGAATCTGTTTTACCTGCCACGCGTATTTGGCGCAACCCCCTGAAACACGGAAAGGAGGGCGGATGTAAAGAAACGGCAGCGTGGGAGGGAGAAGGATGGAACACGAGAGAAGGACAACCAGGAGGGGGCGGCTACTAACAGAAAGCGCGTGGCAAAACCCGTCGGGGAAATCGGGTGGGTAGACCCTGACGGGCGGGTCGGGAAGGCGTGCCTAAGCGGCCAGGTCGAGCACGCGGGTTGCTGAAGCTTGCGTCTTGCATAAGTCGCGAGGACGTGTCAAACGAACAACGTGATCCCGATGTGAGTTATGGACAAAACAAAACGACAGCCTGATTCCTGTGTGTCGGGGCGCGGCATGTCCAGACATTCAAAAACACACGTCTCGCATGAAAGCACACAGCTTGCACAGACATTGAAGGCCTACCGCGCGAGAGCGCGATTCCCAAATGAATTGCGAAGAAATGTGAAGCCCGAGCCGTTGTTGTTGTAATTCGGAAGCCAAGAGCACAGTCTGAACCTCAATGCGTTCCCTTGTAAGAGACCAGGTGCGAACCCCAGGGGGGAGCACTTCCATTGAAACAAAAACAATGTGCACCAGGCCCGGGGGAACCAACAGTAACTATTCCTTGGCAATGCAGGTTCAGTGGCTCCCGCCTCAAACTTTCGCGCAATGTATTCAAAACCGTGCTATCGCGCGAAACTCCTTCGCACTTTATCCAGGCATCGCGTTCTCGCGTAGAGTTTCCTCACAATCTGCTAAAACTCCGCGCTGCCATCACTCAGGAATCGCACTCTCGCGTTGGCCGTCACGGTTGATTTGGGAATCGCGCTATCGCTTGGGACTTACTTATCGCTTGAAACTTACCCGCGGCCCATGCAGGACTGAGGTGTCAGCGACCCGCCCGCTCGACCACGCCGTCTGCGACAACCCCGCCCGACCCGCCCCCTTTGCGAACCCCTCCCGTGCTCCATTATTGTCCCTCCCCCTCGTCCCTTGCCTCCTCCCCCCTTGCCCCGGTTCAAGAACCTGCGCCAATGCCGCGTGGCATCCTGGGCGCATTGAATGAATGACGCGCAAACAAATAAGAGCGAACTACATGAATGAACGACGCGCAACAATTGCTGGCGGTGCGGTTCGGGGGGGCAACACAACAACAAACAAAACTCGCACTTGACACTAAAAACGGGCGCGAGCCATTGGAGGGGCATGTCAAGTGAACCTGCCCTACGACGTACCCAACTCGTTTGCAATGAGTGACTCGGCATTTGACAATACAAGGTCGGTCATGGCTGCGCAAGCTAGAAGGGACGCGCAGGAGTTGCGTGACACACGGGGCAGCAACAATGACGGAGGCTGAGGCCCCGGGGTCGCAAGGGAAATGGGGGGTGAACGGGGTGCAGGACAAAGACGGAAGACGGGCAGAACCGCCATCGCGACAACAGCCGTGAAACGGCGAAGAAGGAAGAGGACGACAACCAAATAAGCAGGATGAAGAAAGAGGGTGGCGGTCAATTATGTTCCAGGCGCGCTGGACAAGCAGTGCGGCCCGCGCCATGTCACGTTGGCGCTCCAAGCGGTCAGCTGTGCATCGCGAGTGCAAGAAGTGAGCGGTGCCGAGCGAGCTCACCAAGTTCCCCGCCTCCTTCCTGCACAGCGCAATGCGGGAGCTAAGCGCCCACAGGCGCGCCGCCATGACTTCGGGCCCCGTGGGGCGACACTCCGCTGAACCCCCAGCAGCCTTTGAAAGCGGCGACAGTTTCGCAGATCGCAGCCCCCCGAATATGGCGAGATTCAACTGAAGTCCGCACGGGGCATCGTTTCGGTGGACCCCCCAGCAGCCCTCGAAAGCGGTGGCAATTCTAGAATTCGCAGACGCCGCCAGGGATGGCGAGGTCAAATTAGGTCCGTGTGGGACGTCGCCCCGCTGGCTCCCCCAACAACCCTCCGCGTGGGACGTCGCCCCGCTGGATCGCCGAACAACCCTCAAAAACTGGCGACGGTTTCAAAGATTGTAGCCCTCCCCCCCCCCAGGATGGCGAGATCGAGTTTAGGTCTGCGTGGGGCGTCGCTCCGCTGGTACCCCCGGCAACCCCTCGAAAATCGCGACGGCTAAGCAGATTGCACCATCCCCCGCCCTGCCGGGGATGGCACCGCTGGGGATGGCAAAGTCTAAGTGAGGTCCGCGCGGGACGTCGTTACGCTGGGCCCCGCTGGACGTCGTTCCGCATACCCTCCCCCCTCCTCCTCCTTCCCCCACTACGCCCCGTCCACCTCCTCCTACTTACTATGAGCGGTGCAATATCAAAGTACGCTCTCAGACACGTTCGTCTGCATTGGGAAGTATCGCGCCAGAGAATTGCACATGTCACATCCTGGCCCTGGTTGGGGAGATTTGCGCTGAGAAGGCGTTAAGCCTCAAGGATATGAATCAATAAGAACTGCACCGCGAGGAACATCGTGCACACCTCAGTTACGCTGCGGAGGGGGCTGAGGACACTCTGCCCTTCCCTCTCCGGCTCCCCTACATTTCCTTTCCCTCACCCCCACGCCATCCACCTTCCTCTACACATACACAATATAGATACTACTTTCCCCTGACTCTGTCTGGAAAATCTCCCGTCTTCTCCGCGTGATGTTTGTTACACACAAGATGATCTTAGTTGTGTGTGTGTGTTCCGATGTGTTTTTTCAATATGGTCGTTTCTGGTTCCTCCGAAACCAAAATGGTGCTCCCGAGGTAGCGCTGGCCTCGCTCCCGCGCCTCTAGACGGCACTTGGCATCCGAAAGCGCCCACGTCGGGCAGGCACCGTTACGGAGGACAAGGAGCTGGCATTTCGGACAGGCCCTGCTTACGGAGGACAAGGAGCTGGCATTACGGAGGACAAGGAGCTGGCATTACGGAGGACAAGGAGCTGGCATCTCGTAGACGGCCGGGCCTTTTACCCTCCAAGTCATCCGGAGCCATGCCACGGCATGCGATGCGATGCTGTATTGTGCACCGCTGTTCGATGCCATGCTTTGGGTTGCTGTGCTTTTTTGGTGCAATGCTTCACTACACAATGCCACGCCATGGAATGGCATGCCATGCTCTGCCGTACTCTTCTACGCCATGCTTGTCCATCCATCGCGCACCCTCCTGGGATCACTGCCCTGCTTGACATCCGGCTGTACGAAAAGATAGGAGATCCACGCCACGGTAAGTGATGGGAGGGAGGGGTAGGACGTCAGATGTGACGCTAGCGCACCTATCTTGACTCCTCCCCCTCTCTCCCGCATTCTCCCCCTCCTCCTGCCCCATTTCCCGATTGACCCAATCACCGTCTCCCTTCCCTATCTCCTTTTTCTCCCCGTCCCCACTGGGTTGGCTGGCGTCTGGATTTGCGCCCCACGGGAGGCTCGGTGCACTGGGAAGTTGTCGCGAGCTGTTCTCGTGTCCTTCACCTCCTCGTAGTCGTCGTCGTCATCGCCGTCGTCCCTCTCCCCTGACCTCCGACGTCTGGTTTTCGCACTAGCGTGGCACCCCCAGGTGTTCATCCAGAATCTGTTTCTTGATGATGGCTCCGCGGCCCCGTCCGTACAGCAGTGCCGCTGCAACCGTCCACACCACAACTGCACTGTTTCCCCCGGGGCCGTAGGCGACCCGAGGAGGAGGAGGAGGAGGAGGAGGAGGAGGAGGAGGAGGAGGAGGAGGAGGAGGCGGAAGAGAGGGAGGAGGAGATGGAGGAGGAGGAGGAGGAGGAGGAGGAGGAGGAGGAGGAGGAAGAGGGGGAAAGGGAGAAGAGAGGAAGACGGGTCGCCTCAGCCCTTCGGAGAAACCCTCCGCCCACAACGAGGCGAGGCCTGGCCCATAAGCGACCCGCTGCGGAGGCGGCCTCTGCCAGACTTCCCTTGGCGTGAGCGGCAGCCCGGATCCCGTGCCCCTCTAAGCAGTGCCCACGCCGGCGATGCACGTTGCTTGGCCTCGGCGGCGCGGAGCGGTCTGGTGCGGCGCTGAGAACGACTTTGGGTTGCACGTGCGCGGTCGGGAAGAGCATGCTGCCAGCACACTGCTTGGCGACGCGGCGCTGGTTCACCACGAGCTGACCAAGGTAGAGTTATGGATTAACTTCTCTAAGAGCAAGCTGCTCGCAACCTCGGTGGATCTGCGGGTGCACACTACGGGAGCATGGTCAGGGAGTGGGGCGCGTTGGTTGGTTGTGTCGCTGCGGAGCGCACGATCACACAGAGGGCGGCCATCGGTGACTACTGGCATCACTGCTGCTGCACCCTGCGACCCCCGCCCGAAATGCCCCTCACCCGCCTCCCCCCCCAATGTCCGTCCTTACTTCGCCAGTGCGCGTGACATCTGCGCTCCCCAATTCCGCCATGATCCAAGGGGCCCAAACCGGGAACGGGTCACCCCATAAACGCATGACAGCATCTCGCCGTGCTTGCTTTAAGACGGCAGATGCTACGGTCGGCGCTCTCACATGCGCGGCCAGGATGGGACGCGGCGCACCTCGCGTGCGACAGGGCAGACTGCTGCTCTCGTCCCCAGCGCCGCCCTTGCTGTTGAACGTTGAGCCGCCGAGGCGGCGCGCCCACTGGTTTGTGTGCGACTCGGGGTCGCACTTGAGGCAAAGAAAGAGAGGGAGAGAGAGCGCGCACGGCCGTGCGGTCCTCGCCCAAGCGCTGGCATGTTTCCGTGAGGTGTGCGTTCCCGCCTGGGCACGCTTGGTGCTCCTCGTTGCAAGCATCTTGAAGCTGGGCCGCGCGCTCGGCGAGCGCACGGCTGCTGCCATGCCACCAGGTCCCAAGTTCTCCTCCAACGCTGCGCTGGCATCCTTGAATCCGAATTTCCGAGGCTGGGGTTTCTATACACACCCACCGCCAGGAAGACCCGGGAAGCGGTGGCTATGGAAATGCCCCGACCTCACATAATAATCCTCCTGAGCTGTGTCGAGCCAAGAAGGAGGCAGAGGAGGAGGAGGAGGAGGAGGAGGAGGAGGAGGAGGATGAGGAAGAGGAGGAGGAGAAGGAGGAGGGGGAGGAGGAGGACCCCCTCCAACTTATGGTGGTGGTGGTGGAAAGCGCGCCCATCATGAATTGTGTCGAGCCGGGTCCTGGCTGACCCGGCCGGGTGCGGCGCACCTCCCTCGCACGTGCGCGCGAGCGCCTGCCCGCTCGCTGGGTGGAAGCGCGGGCAGGCCCCCGTCTCCAGCTGTGTCCGCGTGGATGACCACACCGTGGGAGGGAGGCGCAGGAGATCCGTACACCACCATTACCAGGCTGGAACATGTCCCTATCCCTACGCTGGGCATCGCCTCATCACGATGCCAACCTCAGGGGTTCCCTTAGCTTTTCAGGGCGCATCCCTAAGATTGTCATCGCCTTTGAGCGTGTCAATCTCAGAGATAGGGATAAGCTCGAGGCTGGTGACACCACCGTGCCTGGCGAAGACCATCTTGGGCCCAGGCATGGTGCAAGAGAGCCCAGCATCGAATCGATCAGTAGGATCGGCAATCGACATGAATCGGATCGACGGAAATCGGCAGCCGAGTCGGGAAAAGTCGAATCTAATGACATCGGCAGGCCAGTAGGCCTCCATTGAGAAATCGGAGCCCAGATCGGAAGCCGAAGTCGAATCGGAAACGGAAGCCATCGATATCGAGCCGAACCGCATCGAAAGAGTCGAATCGAGCCCGGGCACGGGGTGGGCGGCCTCCTGGCCGGAACCAGGAGGGCCTGTGCGCCATCCCGGGGCTCGGGCCTGCCCCTGGCCGGGCATGATTGAAGGGGCCCTAGGGCACACAATTAAATACACACAAATAAAAGGATCCCCGATATTTTCCAATATTTTCTGGGTTTCTGTCTTCCTCCCCACGGCCCATATGTTCCCATATTTTCTAGGGGATCGACGATTAATTGTGTCTGTGTGTTTTTGTCCCTCCTGCAGATGCCGGTGAGGTGCTGCGCGAGGGGCCGTCTGCGTCAAAGGGCAGGGGGGGTGGGCGGGGGGCCGCGGTGCCGTGCCCTTGTGGTGGGCTCTGGGCACGCCACAGGGCCGTGCCAGCATGACAGCACTGCCAACAAAGGCTGCACCCAAATGGTGAGGAAGAGCTCCCCGGAGCGGCCAGGAGGGCGTTCGAACCCGTGCGAAGACTGTTCGGACAGGGTGTGGAGAAGCGGTGGAAAAGCAGTGCTCTGGACCAGGCCGGGCCAACGGAGACTGAACACGGTGACGCAACGCTGATGATGATGATGATGATGATGATGATGATGATGATGATGATGATGATGATGATGATGATGATGACGAGGATGAGGATGAGGATGAGGATGAGGATGAGAATGAGGATGAGGATGAGGATGAGGATGATGCTGCTGCTGATGATGATGATGATGATGATGCTGTTGATGATGATGATATCACAGAAGCGGCACCAGAAACGTCCAACACCTGACAGCGAATGCGGAGCAAAGAGCCGCAGCTGCTCCAGGGCGGGAGCCGTCTGCAGGAGGGCGGGCGGGCGTGGGCGGCGCGGCCGCCAGCTCCATCGATCGAGCCTGCCTGGAGCCCTCTGCTGCCCCCTGCTCCTCCCCCCCCTGCTTCCTCTGCTTTCTCCCCTGCGCACCCCTCCCGCACCCGCCCGGAGGAGGAGGAGGAGGAGGAGGAGGAGGAGGAGGAGGAGGAGGAGCCTCCCGCGTGAGGGCTTCCGAGCCTCCACGAAGGCCGCGGAGGGCCGGATCGGCGCCGCAGCGCCGCCCCTTTCGAAGCTCTCGTCGAGCCCCAGCTGCTGACGTGGGCCCCGACCCTCCAGGGAAGAGAGAACAGCACGACAGCAAGGGAAGGGCCTGCTCAGCCACCTCTGAAGGGGCCCAAGGACACACAAATAAATACACACAAATCAAAAGATTCCCCATATTTTCTGGGTTTCTGTCTTCCCCCCCACTTCCCATATTTTCCCATATTTTCTGAGGAATCGAAGATGAATTGTGTCTGTGTGTTTCTTTCCCTAATTACTGAAGCAAGGGAAGGGCCTGCTCAGCCACCTCCCCCGTCCAACCATCGCCTTCCCCGAAGCGTGGCAAGCCGACGCGAACGCTGGCGCTCCCACGGCTCCCTTCTGAGCCCGCTCGGCGGGGTCGAGGGAGCTGAGCCTGTTCGGCCGCCGGATGGGCGCGATCGTGAGTCCATCCAGCGGGCAAATGGGCTCAGACGCCGAACGGGCTCAGAAGGGAACCCTGCGGGCTGGGGGCGGCTGAATGCTGCTGCAATGGGGCTGCGGCGACCGCGTGATGCGC